CTTCCTTTTCCGTCCCCGGGCCCCGCCTCCTCCCCTGCTGTCGACCACGGGCCCCGCCTCCTCCTCCCCTGCCAAGTCCGGCCTCCTCCACCGTCGCTGCTGGCTCTCATTGACTCAGCAGCGGCTCTGGAGATGAACGCGCTGCTGCACAGATTGCGGTCAGTGATCTGAACAGCAGTGCATTCTTTTTCAGAGCCGCCAGTAGAGGATGCCATAGCGACCCAGGTGGTCCGCTCTGCATCTGGCGGGGCCCCACTGTGCCCCGGGCCCCATAGCGGCCGCCTGGGTCGCTATGGCGATTGTTACGCCACTGCGTACAATATATACAGTGAATAAAGGACATACAGCAGACATATATACAGTAAATGTGGTATATACAGCAGATATAATACATGCCCCCCCCCCAGGAGCCATTTGCAGTAACTACCATCCATCCACAATGAATATAATAATAAATAATATACTTTTATTAATAATAATATACCAAGGTACTGACCTGCCAAGTCTCTTCTCCCAATGCCTACCAGTCCCTCAAACAATCCTTTAATTGGGTTTTCTCCAGCCATCACAACTCCGTGCAGCCAGATGAGTAACATTCTGTGCCCGTGGTCCCGGTAGCTTTTGTTTCCTAGAGTCAAAAACACATTTATTAAAGCTGCAGCAGAATCAGGCCACTTCAAATATTCTAGTTACATCCCCAGAAAGGCAAGATTCCTACTACTGCTTTTGGTACTGTAATATACTATAAGTGTCAATCACTTTTGCCTTATCAACTTTCCAAAAAAATGCAGGGGAAGAACACATCTGATTATATCCATCACATGGAAGTAAGGTTTCATTTTTTGGCTTACAGCTACTGAACTTCAACTGAATGTGTTTGTTCTTTAAAAAAGAACTGCAGTAAAAGCTATTTTATTCTAAGATGACTGCGCAGCCACTGCAGAGGAAGGAACACAGCTCTCATGCAATGATAATCCCTACTGGCACACATGACATGATCTATTATCTTCAGGCTGCCGCTAATGCGTTGTACCTCTTACTTTATACAGAAGTTGCCTTAGACATATCTTTAGAGATGAAATAGGTTAAGATTTGCATAGCATGAATAATTTCAGAGTGAGTTTGTACTGATTATTTAATTGATGTGCAGCATTCAGCTTCTCTTCTCTACTCCAATCAGAACCAGGCACTGTAGTCTTTACCTGTCCACTGATGCTCTATTGCTCGAATGTGGGCATCAGTGAATTTCCAATGCTGTGCCAACTTCTTCCATTCATTGGGTTTTAGATATTTCGTCGCCAGCCTCCAGATGACAGATCGGATGTGCTGTGTCTCTAGGCGATGATCTTGTTTGAATGTCAGATGTCTAGCCAACCAGGAGTCAGAGTCACTATTCAGATTGTCCTGTGGCAAGCAAGGAAACCCATGTAAGATCCTTTACAAATATATCTCCCTCAGGGGTGTTAGTACAGATAATGTTTGCATCAAAGACACATAGTAGAAGAGCTTTTGGTTCATTGCTGGGAACCAGAGCTGTGGATAGAAGTTGTCAAGTTAGAGGGGTATTAACTTTTAACAATAGTTTTCCCAATATTTTCCTGCTAACTGTTCTGTCCTCGGTAGCACACCAATCATTTTCATCATCCCAGATTCAGGGCCTAAGAGTAAATTCTTTAACCTCCCACCCCTTCCACTGCCTGAGCAAGCAAGTGCTATGGTCTAGTAGTCAGCAAAAAAAAAAAGTAGTAGCAAAAATGATAACTCATAATAATTTATATTATGATATAATTGATAGTACTCCTGCACACAATTACCCTAAAACTCCAATACAAACTTATTTAAATGGTGTGGGAATGTTTGTAAAACTACAAACAGCTCTCAGTTTTTAGCTGAAAAGACTCTGGGATTTCTAAAGACTGTGTTAGGCATACTGAGTTAATTTTAGTGCTGGCCATGATGACCAGAAGCTCAGACCAGAAGCTGTGTCTTCCAATGCACAGATTTTCTATGTTTAAATTGTATCAACAGCCTCCCTAATGGAGCCCGTTTCCACCCCCAGGCCCCACAGCAGTTGCCTGAGCTGCTATGGCTATTTGTTACACCACTGCTCTCCCTAAATTACAGCTTCTTAATGATTAGTTACCTATCACAGACTGCTCTCAACATCTGCATGAAAAATATAAATGCAAAGTCCATTCTGTACCTTCTCCCACTTGTAGAATCTATCTGCCTTGATGATCATATCTGCCAGATTTATGTGATTCCCTCGAGCAGCCACGTCAAGAGATGTTTTTCCTTGCTGGAAAGTAGAACATAGTTGCTATAAATTCATCAATGTGTAAACCAATCATATGGTATCACTCTGTTGCTTTCTCTCATTTTATACCTTGTCCAGTAGCTTCAGATTTACACCTGCAATAAGTATAATTTCTGCCATGTCCTGTCGTCCATGTTCTGCCGCAATATGAAGAGGAGCCTGCAACCTCTGCAAGGACAACAAAGCTAGATGTGAATAAAAATCTCCCTCACCATTACCCAGAACCATTATTCACAAGTTTGCCGAAGGCAGCCGAGTGATTAACCCAGCCGAAGTGAAGTAAGCTGAACTACGTTCGGCTATTCACTCCGGCTCAGTACGGCTGATTTAAGACGTACATTGGCTGCCTTCGGCTGCATTTAGGTTTAGCTGTACATGCTCTGCGTGTTCGGCTGAGTAAAAGTGCAGAAGGACCTTGACTCAGGTGATCCAACATCAGGATCGGCTGAGCCGAAGCTCCGGCAGCTCACTTGCTGCCGTTCGCCCCTACTCTCATAGGGGCCAAACGGCAGTGAGTGAATAACCGAATGCCGCCGAGCAGTACCTCCGTGGTACTGAGCAGAATAGCAAATCAGTGAAAATAGTAGAATAAATAAAAAGAGAGGTTGGAAAAAAAATGTAAACAAATAGTGAAAGTAAAAAAGAAATAAAGATATTTTCAAAAAGAAAAAAAGATATAAAAAAAACAATTGTGCGGAGCTAGCAGTGACAGCTAGCTCCGCCCAACTGTTTCTTATTAGCTGGCACCTGCTAGAACTGGGCGGAGCCAGTTGTGACGTCACGGCCGGCTCCGCTTAGTTGTTATTGTTTAATGACAGATCAGCATCCGCAGGTCATTTGGGGACACTGATCTATCATTACAACTGGGCGGAGCCAGCCGTGAGATCACGTCTGGCTCCACCCAGCTGTCATTTGCGGGGCTCACAGCCGGCCTTTGGCAGGCTGTTCGTCTTGCTTTGGCTGTCACTTCGGCTCAGTCGAGCTGAAGCATATGCTTCGACTCGGCTGAGCCACTCGTCCGCCTTCGGCAGCTGTACCGGCTATTGTGAATAGCACATACAGCAGCCCTTCGGTTCAGCACCAGCGTACGAAGAGAGCCGAAGGATCAGCCGACTCTACGGCTGGATCCTTCAGCTCTTTTGTGAATATCCCCCTTTCCAGGGACAGACCTTACATTTCCTTGCTGTAGAGTGTCTTCTTCCCAGCATACCTCTGTTTCTTTGTTTTGTATTCTCATTTCTGGACCTGCACACCTTTACAGCTTTTTCATACTCTCCCTTTACCATTGTGAACTAAAACATGCCATAAAACTTTTCTCATATGCATAAATATTGGCAAAACACTGATTTGATCCAGTGCATTAGCTGTGCCTTTGTGATGATAACATATTGGCTATATGCCAGTGCCAGTCACATTTTGTGTAGCATATGTCAGCTCAACACCAAGGTGAACACTACTTGACTGATACCAAACAGTTATATACTTTAACATTACAACACAAGGGAGAAATGATAGTCATTAAACTTACATAATCTGTGAGATCCAGGTCACATTCACAGTCAATGAGAAGCTTTACCATAGCTGGGAAATTCTGTAGGACTGAGATGTGCAGAGCACTTGACTTTTGCTGGAGAAAGAAGTCATTGATTAGAAGATAAGTATTTATTTCCTATGCTCCTCAATTCCATCTAGTGGCCATAATGTATTTATTTCCTATGCTCCTCAATTCCATCTAGTGGCCATAATGTATTTATTTCCTATGCTCCTCTACTTCATCTAGTGGCCATAATGTATTTATTTCCTATGCTCCTCTACTTCATCTAGTGGCCATAATGTATTTATTTCCTATGCTCCTCTACTCCATATAGTGGCCATAATGTATTTATTTCCTATGCTCCACTACTCCATCTAGTGGCCATAATGTATTTATTTCCTATGCTCCTCTACTCCATATAGTGGCCATAATGTATTTATTTCCTATGCTCCTCTACTCCATATAGTGGCCATACTGTAATATTACATCACATTCGATCTGAAAAGAATATATTAAGAAAGTTAGTTTTTGCCTCTATTGGCACAGAAGGAACATTCACAGAGATTTGCAAGGCAAATGGCTCTGCAAATTGTTTATAATTAGACACCTAAATTAGTGACAAGGTCACTTTAGGGATGACAGATGGTGATAATCTCTCCACCAGGACATGTCAAGACATTTCTTTTCAATATGGAAAACATTTGGATTCACCATATGCATATTAAAGGGAGTGCTCAATTTTTCTATGGAGGAATGGAAACAATTTTTAGACATTTTCTAAATATTAGAAAACATTTTTGTGCGCAGATGAGCTTTCAAGTGCTAATAATTGCTCTGAACTAAACACCTACATAGGCTGATTGCTGCTTGGATTGGGAATATTGGATCATGTATGTGTTACCTTTATCCACTGACAGACATTATATAGGGCCACACAGTGCTTACATAGATCCATAGCTGCAGTGAGAATCTCACACTGAGTTGAGTCATAAAGACACATGCAATATACTGCTCACCAGTACTACTCACATTGTTTACTGCATTGATATTAATTCCTGCATCAATGAGAGCCCTTGCAATGTCCACCTGTCCATGGAAAGCACAATAGTGAAGGCAGTTTGTTCCTTTCTGTGAAAATAAAAAAATGATACATTAGCTCCTGCAGTCAGTCTCTGCGTACAGATAGCTTTGAAGACATGATGGTAAAGTTGATTCAATGTTGCATTCTTTTCTTCACCTCATCCTAGTTCACCGAGAATGAACATTTCCACAATCAATGAAAAAAATATATATTTGTTTTACGTTCTACTTGCAGGGGTCTGCTACATGAACTGGAAAGATGACCCTTACATTTGCCACCATGAAGAGATTCTCAGGTTACCCAACTTCCTTCCCAAGGAGATGAGCGGGACAATATGACTTCAGGCCCATTCACACCATAGCTTTGCATTAATCAAGCATGCTATCGCACAGCTCACCTAGAGCGCTAGGTGTGTTGTGTTACCATTCATTTGAATGCTCAATGCACCTCCCGACTGCCATTCGCTGCAAACATGCACTACTTTTTGCACCACAGCGCATGATATTGCGGCCCCGAGTGTTGCATTGCTGCGCATGGCAGCCCAGGGGTGTGTTGGGGTGCCATTCAAATATCTGAGAATATCTGTGAATGTTGGCCACTAGGTGGCACTGAGGAGAATTAAAATAAATACCTATTTCTTATGTTCATTTAGCTCCATCTAATGGCCAAAATGGAATATTACATGAAAACATTCGAAATTGAATTGCACCACATAAAAAAGTAAGAACATTCATTTTTGTATATAGTTGCACAGAATATTTGCAGGGTCATTCTGATCCAGATGGAACTAGTTCTTTCAAATTTGTGTGCATCACATTGAACACAAGCAGCTGTGATTGACACCCCTCACCCCCATAGAACACGGCATGACTAAGACAGCCAATGTGGGGGACTGGGCATCTACAGACAGGAAGTGTGCCTACTGCAATGCTCTTATATGAAAATTTTTAGTAAAATAGTTTTCCACCAGACATCAGAGACAAAAGAGATTGAGACAGAAACAGGTGAAGCTTCCTAAACAAATTATAATTCCAAAAATAGTGTTATATCATGTGCCTTTTTGTGGGATGCAGCTGTTTCTCTGTGCTGAATGGAACAATGTATAGATCGGCACCCTACAGCTCTGGGTAATAGTAAAGAAAAATAAAGTGTATGTTTAGCCAAAACGTTTTGGGTAGAGAAAGCGGAAACCCAATATTGTTTGCTGTGATATCACCCTTTGATTCCTGGACAAGCACCAGGAAGTGAGAGGAAATAACTACAAAGTAAAGGGAACTTCCCCCCTAATCCCCATTTGAAGATGAACCCTCACCTCTTTTTCTGGTGACAAATTCTGGATTTCTTATCACTTTCTATTTCAGTGACAGACCTGACAGCTAATCCTTCCTGACTCTATACAAAAAGCTTTTTGCTATAGATACACTTTAAAAAAATATTCAACTCTCAAACTTTTTTTTAAGAATAAATCCAGGTCAAATAAAAAAACATTGTCCAGCAAAGTATATATTTACATTGTTGCCCAAGCACTTCCAGCTCCAACCCTCTCAGCTCAGCCTCCCTGAACTTTCCATCCAGTAGAAGATCACATGGTACTGCCCATCTACTAGTTTGGAGAAGGGAAGAGCGGAGAGCCGGAAAGTGTCTTGCCTTGCTGTGCCTGTGTGTCTGTGGAGACACACACAGCTTACTAGCATCCACAAGGGTGGCTCCAAAGTACCCTACAAGGGAAAGGAGACACCCTAAAACAGGATATCAGGACCAGTGCTCAGGAGACCAGCTGATTCTGCAGAAACTAAAACCTTTAAACATTAAAGTGACATTAAACCCTCAGATTTTTTAACATAAAACAATACTGTAATGTGGGCCTTACTGTAATCCATGTTTGTTTTCCTTCTCTTTGCTGCTCTTCCTTTTAAATCCTTATCTCTTCTCATGCTCGGCAGAACTTCTGTTTTGCAGCAGACTGCCTTGTCTCTGAAAAGGATACATGGTGTCTGTGTGCAGGTTCACAACCTGAGCCAGCACTACAGGAAGAGGCCCTCAGCTGCAAAATAGAAGTTCTGCCGAGCATGAGAAGAGATAAGGATTTAAAAGGAAGAGCAGCAAAGAGAAGGGAAACAACCATGGATTACAGTAAGGCACACATTACAGTATTGTTTTATGTTAAAAAATCTGAGGGTTTAATGTCACTTTAAGGAGCAGTATCCATCATTGTAATTCATCAGCACTTGAAATAGATTAAAACACTTTTGACTTTAAGATCACATTAAGGGTGGGAGTTTACTAAACATAACTGCACTAAGTTAATTATCAGGAGTACATTTCCTTCTACAGGTCCTAAACCTTATAGTACATTGCATTGTGACTTGTAAAATCAGTCCAGTGTCATTTTTGCAGGTTGTATCTTTGTACATTACCATTCAGCAGGACCATAAAAACATATGAACATGTTTTCACCATG